GCCAGCCCCGGGCAGGAAAGTCCATAGGACTCTTATCTCCAACAAACCATTCAGAAAACTGGAAGTGGCACTGTGACTCAAGTGGAAGAGCGCTAGCCTTGAGCTGAAGAGTTGAAGGACAGTGCCCAGGCACAGAGTTCAAGCCCCATGACCAACAAAAAAACAAACAAAAAATCTTTTGGGGTTGGAGGTGTGGCTCAGTTGGGAGACTGCTAGCCAATGAGCCGAAGTGGTAGATCTCAGACCTAAAAAAAAAGAAAAAAATTATCTTTTGTTTTAGGGAGTGGTCTTACCAAAGTTAAGAACCAAATGAGGCAAAAGCCACAGAAATAAAGTAGGGGAGATTAGAATGTCTACTTTATTCCTGACAGATGTTTGAGATGTATGCTCACTGGTAAATATGTGGGCTGAAATTATACCTCTCCACTCAGTCCTAGGTAGTACTAGAAAATCATAGCCTATCTGGGCTCAGTGGGGCATGACTACACATCCAGCTACTCACAAAACTGAAGCAAGAGGCTTGGTTCATCCCAGGAGTTCTAAGATAGCTTAGGCAATAAAACAAGACCCTGACTCAAAATAAATAAATAAAACTACAACAACCCAAGCAGGAAGTGGCACTGTGGATCAAAGTGGTAGAGGGCTAGCCTTGAGCAAAAATGGAGCTCTGGAACAGCATCTAGACCCTGGGTTCAAGCCCCACAACCAACAAAAAGAAAAGAAAACCCCCAAACATAGTGGAAAATGCATGTATCTTTTGGGGTTGGAGGTGTGGCTCAGTTGGGAGAATGCTAGCCAATAAGCCAAAATGTTAGATACCTGTTGATGCAAATTTATGATGTTACAATGTTAAATATCAGAAGACCAAATGGATTTCTATGGATAAATTCCAGGGATCAGCAGGGGTCAGCAGGGCCATATTCCTTCCAACAGAGAATCTATTATCTTCCTTCCCCAGCTTCAATGGTTGCTATCATTCCTTGACTTAGGCTTGCTAGGCAGGCATTCTATCACTTAAACCACTATGGCCCCAACCCTCCTTTGCTTTATTTTTCAGATAGAGTCTTGCACTTTTTTTTTTTTTGGTCGGTCGTGGGGCTTGAACTCTGGGCCTGGGCGCTGTCCCTCAGCTCTTCAGCTCAAGGCGAGCGCTCTACCACTTGAGCTACAG